CTGGGTTCAGTTCCACGGTGCTGTCACCTGAAAGCCCAAGTGTCCTGTCACATGCCTGCTGCTGTGTGCAGCTGGCAAGGCAAGGCTCTCAGGTGCTTCTTCACAGCTGTCAGTGTTGGTTAATTATCATTTCATTCAGTATTTGTTTATCATGGGTTTTTCCAGATACCTGGGGGTCCTGACAATGAATACTGTGTTAAACTCTCCTTTGCTGTGCTTACAGATGATAAAGCAACTTCAGCAAAGAATGACAGAACTCAAGAAAACTCTCCAGAAAGAGCTGGTAAGGATTGTGTGTTTTCAGTCTCTTCAGATGGCACTTACTGGCAGGTACTTGCACTGTTATTCCAAAAGCTTGACTGCTAACTCCCATTGCATCCCTCTGCAATGGTTTATCTCTCCAAGAAAAAAGAAAATTATTTAAAAGAAAATTAACAGAGGTTTTAAAATTGTTGGTTTTGCTCTGATGTTGAAAATTACTCTGAAGAAAGCCCATGTTTGAAAGGCTCAGAGCAGGTTAGTGATAGAAGAAAATTACCAAGGGACAGTTTCCACCATGGAGCCAATTCTGTGCTGGTTTGGGTAACGTACACAGAACACTGACATCAGCCAGCTCCTGTCCTGGGGTGTAGGGACAGCTGGAGACCCTTCTCTGCTGTGACCCCATGAAGGATGAGGAGCTGTTGATGCCCAGTTTGTACCCACCTGTGGGTACAACCCTCTTTAGATATCCTCAACCCAGACCCCTCCCAGTGTCAAGCTAACAGCATCTGCAATGTACCTCTCTTTTTCCTCTGTGGATTTTTTATTTTTCTGTAGAAAATAAGGCCTGACAGTGAGGTACCTGAGCTACGTGCAAACTCTGAAGTGCCTAATGCATCTGTGACTGTCACCAACAACTCTGACTTGAACGACTCCAGGGAGATAAACTTCGAGTACCTTAAACATGTTGTACTAAAGTTCATGTCCTGCAGGGAGTCTGAGGTAAAGGTGCCACTTACCTTCTCTTTCTACATCTGTCTTTCTCTAGAAATTGCCACCTGTCACCTCCTTAGGACACTTCATGCCAGTTCGATAATTTACAATTAAAAAATGTACAGTGGGGGCAATAAAATAAAATAGCTGACAGCAACATGTTTGGAACACAACTCTGTGGTTTCTTTCAGGCATTCCATCTCATTAAAGCTGTGTCTGTGTTACTGAATTTTTCACAAGAGGAAGAAAACATGCTCAAAGAAACTCTGGAGTACAAGGTAAGGTGCCATTAGGTGCCATATGGCTATATGTGGTCTCTAATGAGACAATTAAAATTCCTAGATGCTGAGAGATTAGGAAAAGTGGCTTTTTTCCAAATGTTAGGTAGAATAATAAATGTAATTTATTATTAAAATGTTAGCTGACCGTATGCATGCCAGGAATTGTCCCTTTCAGTGAGGGAAATAGCAGCTTTCTGGTGCTCAGAGGAGTTGGAGCACAGCTTTGCCAGTGGACTTGATCTGAGGGGAAAAGCTGGGAGCTCCTTGCCCAAACAGAGTCAGTGTTTAACAGCAGAGCCTAACTCTGGGTTTGTCCTTTTGACCCTGGGCTCAGACACCAAGATCTGTGTCTCCTTTCCATGAGCTGAGATCTGCCTGGCCCTGGCTGTGTGGTGGTTAGGGAATGTTCAGCAGTGAGTGCTGCCTCAGCTCCAGGTTCTGCATCATCCCTGCCCACCCAGGAGTTGGGATGCTCAGTCTGCAGATGAAGAGATTTCCTCACCATCTGGTTCAGGGAGCACATATGCTACACTGACTAAAGGCACCGTGTTTAAATGACTGTAGAGTTCTAATTTGAAATTATTTTAAAGGAATATATGTAAGTATAATCTTCATTTTCACCTGTGGGCAGTGGGTGCTGTTCCTTCCAGATCTGATTGTGTGAAGCTGCCTCCCGTTCTTCAGTCTGGAGTCTGGAGCATTCTGAGTTATAAATAGCTCTTTCCATCAGATGATGAGAACATGGCTGTGTACCATGTTGTTTCTTTCACCCCTTGGAGGTGTGACCCTGTGTGATGTGTGCTGTGCTGTTGTGTCCTAGATGTCCTGGTTTGGGTCAAAGCCATCCCCCAAAGGCAGCATCCGCCCGTCTATCTCGAGCCCAAGGACTCTGTGGCCTTAAGGGAACCCGAAGGTGGCAGGCAGTATCCAGGCACTTCTTTCTGTGAAAAGAATGCTGAACACACTGGTCCAGGTGTGTCTTAATCACTGTCATTGCAGTATTTTGTACAAGAACTTCTGGCTCTGTTTACAAAACTAATACTGTGCAAGGAGACATTTTCACTACAGACTGGAACAGCTCTGGGCTGGAGTCGGGAGCAGCTCGGTGTCTGTGCTGGGAGCAGCTCCTTGTGCTCAGCACTCCTGGCTCCTGGCACCAGAGGGTTCTGAGCACCTCTCTGGCTGCCAGCTCAGTCTCTTGGGATGCTGATTCCAGCTGCTGTTCCAGGGTGCTGCAGTCCAGTGACTCTGGGCACAGAAAAGCTGCTTGTCTGGCTGTGGGAAGCCAGCAATGAAAAATGTGTTGGCAGAAGAGTGTTTAGAGTGGGATGGTTTGTAAAGCCTTTCACAGGACAGGAGCAGGAGCTTTAACCAAAAAAGAACTCTGCCTTGCCTTCTAATACTGACATTAACTAATGGTTGGCATTTTTTCATATCACTGTGTAATTTAAGGTGCATTTATCCTGGCCTGCAGCCCTCAAGGCTGCATGTTGATTATTTAATTTGAGAGCACAACTTTAGAGTTGTCTGATTTTACTTTTCTTAAAGAAAAATAATATTTAAAATGGTCTTAATTATAGTACCTAATCCTCAGTCGCCTTTAAAACTAATCCATTAGCCTGTTCCATGGGTTGTTAGCAGTGGGAAAAGGGGTAGGAAACCATTTTAAATTTTTGAAGCTGAGTTCCAGGTATTGTAAATCCACACTGAAAAATACCATTTATTTTAAAAAAATAAAAATCTAGTTACAAAGGGTGAAGAATGCTGGTACTAAACATTTTGATTCATTTTTTTTCTTCCAAGTCTGCTAGCAACAAATCCTTATAACCAGGATCTGCCTCTTTGGTTGTGGTTTTCTGTACTTCAAATACTGATGCTTAAAAACTGTTATGAATATGTTAACTGTTAACTCCTGACTATTACAGTAAAAGAAATGCTGCTCATGAGGGGTTTGAGGGCAAAATTCAACTCTTAGTGAACAAGTTGTGGTTCCAACAGCTTGTTTTCTTAATAAAATAAGGACAGGGGACCAAGGTGGCACTTCCTCCCTGGAAGCACAATTTTGCCCAGAGTTATTAACACCACTGCAAAATCTGGATCCAAATGGGAAGCAGCACTAAGTGTGATTCCTGAAAACTGAGACCTGTTTCCAAAAATCTGCACATGTATGGAATTCAGTGAGCATGCTGCAGTTCTAGGAATTCTCTTACAATTCTTCTGTTAAATATATTCAGGGCAATTCAAGCTTTCTCCAGTGGAGCTCCAGCAGGAGGTGAATGTGCTGATCCAGAGGATCCAGAGCCTGCTGGTCTCCCAGGCAGCCCCACCTCAGACACAGGTACTCCCAGGAGCTGTCACTGGGCACAGGTGCTGCTCCTCACTTAGAGACAGGTTGGATTTGTCTGAAGTCAAGAAAACCAACAGAATTTTTTGGTACTGTCCAAACAGTCTTTAGTAACCAGATTCATGGCACTTCCAGACAGGACAGAGCATGGGAGGGTTCAGCCCTGCTCTGCTGTGAAAATAGACAATCAAAAAATACATTTATTTCAACTGTTTCTCTACTGAGATACAGCAGGGTGGAATAACCCTGGGAAGATTTTATTCTCTGAGATATTTTCCTTTCTAATGTCCCTTTGCCTTGCCCTGTTTCTGTGGGACCAGGGATCAGGACTCCCTCACTCCCCTGCTCCCTGCTGAATGACTGCTGGGTTTATGCTGATCCTGGCTTCAAAGGTTACTGAACAGCAAGGAAAGCAGGACAGGCAGCCTGGAACGGAGTGACAAAGTAAAATCTTATGTTATATATTCACTAACAACTTCAGTTTCAGATCCCAAAGCTCATAAAGGATCAACTTACCATAAACTAGTTCTTAAGTGTTGAATTTTCGTTAGGTATCAGAGCAAGACTGGTGTGTATACATGTATTAAAAAGCTAATGCACTTTCCCTTGTCTCAGAACAGTGGTTATACATAATCCTTTCTATCACCATTGGACTTCTTTCCTTCTATGCTGTAAATATGGATTGTATGATGAAACACTATGAAATTTGTGGTGCAATACATTTTGGATCAAACCCCTAATCTTGATTTCTTTCTTTTTATAGTTCTGGTTATCTCCCCTGGGATGCTATGACTATTTTAAATTGACTTTTAAACCATGACCCAAGCCCCACCTTTGCCCAGGGTGAGGATGGGTGTGCCAGCTGTGCCACCAAGGCCTCTCAGAGGGAGCTGTGTCACAATGAGTTGTGCCACTGCTGCTTCCAAAATCACCTCCCACCAGGACCAGCTGCTGCTGCACTTTGAGCAGCTGGTGGAAGTGAGGACTGGGTGGAGCTGGGGCTCCCCAGGCAGCTGCTCCTTGGTGCCAAAGGGCAGGGAGCCCTGCCAGAGGGGCCAGGGCACAGCCATGGATCCAGGAGTGCGTCCTGCCTGGGCAGAGGACACACTCATACTTAAAGCACAACTCCTGAAGTATCTGCTTGACTTTCTAGCGTGGACAAGAATATAAAAATCAAACTCAGGGTCCTTACTATGTGTTCTATTCACTACATCTTATAAGTCTTGATTGGGTCAGCTGAGCTTGGTCTCACTCCCTACATCCAGGACAGAGCTGGATTTGAGGACAAATTCTCTAAGTTGCTGGAGTTAGGAGCAGTCCTAAAAGGTGGACACTGGGTTGGACTGGGTTTTTGCAGGCCTGCTTTGGAATAAGTGTCAGACTTACAATTTAGCTGAAAATAAATTTAACTCACGTGATCCAAGACCTTTATTGATGCAGCAGGCACTTCACTTTACATGACCCCAAGCCCAGAGTCCAAGAGTCCTTCACCCACACGTTCAGCCGCCATTCCCAGAGCTCTTCTCCCACCCTCAGCTGCAGGACCTCAGCCTGGACACAGCTACCTTGGGACTAAGCAGGACACACGGGAGCTTGTATCACCACACCTGGCTAAAGCAGCATCTGAAATACCTGTTCACTTACAGCAGAGGAGGCAGGAGTGTGCCTTCTCTCTGCCTGTTAAAGAAGGGAGCAGGAGAATGTCTTGGCTCCTATATGTGATAGTCGGAATATGCAGGAATACCTTTACTCTTCCCCACCTTTAAGGTTAAAAGCATTCCAAGAGGAGGTTACTGTAGGATTTCAGTAGATTGCAATCTCTAATAGATGGACCAGTGTAATTTCAGCTCATTCCTTCTTCTGAGTCCAAACCTGACCGTCACCTCTGTCCAAGTTAACAGTCTTTACACAGTCTTTCTTGCTGTGAGAACTCTTATTATGGAGCCCAGGCCTCCTACTGCCAGTGCCTGTGGGAAAGGAGAGAGGTTACAGTGTCACCACGCCCCACACAGAACAAACACCGAAGAGTTCAGCCACAGAAGGGACTATGGCTCTTCTCCAAAGCTAGAAACTGTCATTCTCCACAATCTAACCAGCTTTTGGATCTCGAGGGCTCCAGTGTTGCAGAATGTCCACCTCCCGTAGCCCTGAGGAGAGGAGGAGGGGCTCGCTTCGGTTTCATTTGTGTCGCTCAATGTGAACAGTGTTTCCTTCTGAAGTCTAGAAGATGGAGGTGATTGTGAAAAAAATATTTAAGCTGACTGCTGGAAGTGGGGCATTTACTTTGGAGCCACAATCCAACAGAGCACAGGGTATGAGAGCAGAGTGAGACGTGGCACTGGGGAACAAGGCTGGACAAATGCACAGCACCCACCTGGAGCAGGACGTGACAGGTAAATGCTCCTGAGCTCCCAGACCTGCCACAGGCCTTTTCCAGAGGACAGACTGGTACTACCACTGAGCTGACTCTGCTCTGAGCAAGCCACACATCCTACCAGTACTGCCACAAAGCAGAACACCAGGCTGTAAACCCTGCCTACTCAGACCCGCCTTGTTCCTTTCACAACAGAGAGGACGAGATGCCTTTCATGTCCCTGCACGCTCTGAGTACCAGTCAGGGTGGTGCTGTGTCACCTCCCACGCTGGGAGCACCACCCACCTCACCTGAAAGCACCTCAGTGGAAACAACAGGAAAAAAACCCAAAAAAACAAGTAGAAACATGTTCTTTGCTGTCTCAAGAAATTCCCTCCTCCTCGTCAAGGCTTGGCAAAACTGGTGACAGCAGCAATAACTGGAGTCATGGTACACCAGCTTTATGTACAGCAGGAAAAGCTCTGCACCTTGGGAAAAGGACGGCAGCATTCACAGCAGCTGCCCTGCACAGGGAGCTGCAGCATTCCCAGGGATCAGTTTTCCTTGGAGCACTGACAGCCAGGGCTTCAGCTGAAACCCCTGCAGTGGGGGAAGATCTCACTTGGATTCCTGCCCGGGGGCAGGGGCACCCAGCAGCTGCCTCAGCCACCACAGACAGGGAAGGAGGCTCCACAGGCAGCTGCTGAACACATCCCACACTCCCTATTTCACAGCTGACATTCCACAGAAACAAGAGGCCCCTGCTGGTGCCCAATGGAATCTCTGGAGACCTCAAAATCCTCTCCTGGGCGAACCAAACAGGTTTGCTAAAGCCTGTGACTCAGCTGATGCAAACTGCTAGCCTGAGCCCCCTGAGCTGGGCCCCGGAGGAGGCTGCAGCTGCCCCATCCCTCCCGGGACATCTCAAGGGCAGCACGAGGCTTTCCCCTGCAGGGAGAACTCCCTGCCCCGTCCCCTCTCCCCATGGCAGAGGGCAAGGTTTGAAATACAGGCAAAGGCTTTGTGAATGCAGGCTCAGAGAGACCAAAGATGAAAGAAAACACTGAGCTCCTCAGGGATGAGGCTCTGCCACCACCTGCTTCTCTCCTGAAAGCACTGGCCAGGACCCTGCGAGCGTGGCTGAGCCAAGAGTGCCCCTAGCACGTACCTTTTCATGCCACTGAAGTAATATTGCACTGCTGTTTTCTGTTGGCTTTTCAAATCCTTTATAAATGTACTTCATTAACAAATCAACACCGTTTCTGTCTAAGGAATTCACCGCTTGTTCTATTTCACTGCTTTTAAAAGATGTGAGGACTTTCAGCATCGTTCCCTGGGCCTGCTCCTGGGAAGACAAGGCAAAGAGAGAAATGTGAGAACGAGAACAGCTGGGAACGATCCAAGACTCGTGTTTGGCAAGAGATGGGCGCGCTCCAGGCTGGGTTATTTCTGTAAGCGGGGTGAGCAGAGCTGGGGTTAGAGGAGGAAGGGGCGAACGCAGGGGGATGCCCATGCAGCACAGGCTCGCTGAGCGCAGCGGGTGCCGCTGTGCCCGGGTGCCGCTGTGCCCGCAGCCCTGCCCGGCCCTACCTTCATCGCCTGGCTCCTGGTGTTGCCCGGGGAGCTGCGGATGGCCGTGTGGAAGGCCCGCAGCGCCTCGCCTGTGCGGCGGCGGTCAAGGACTTAAACCGGGACCTGCGGGACGCGCAGCGCGGCTCCCGGGCGGCCCCGGCCCGAGCGGCGATCGCGGCCGCTGCCCGGGACTCCCCGGCCCCCCCGGCCCAAAGGATATTGCCTGAGCAGCGCTTCCACCTCGGGGCTGGCATCGGGCTCGGCCGCCGCCGCCTCCTCGGGCTCCTCCACGAAGCGGTTCTCGTCGTACTGGTCGATGTCGAGGCGGCGGAAGCGGGACGAGAGCGTGCTCCGCGCCATCCCCGCCGCCCGGCCCGCGCCCGCCGGAAACGGCGCCGGCCCCGCCGGAACCGGAACCCGCGCGGCCGCCGCGCCCCGCCCCGGCCCGCGCGCCCCGCCACTAAAAACACAACAGAGCCTGGGAAAAATCCGAACAATGACTTTAATGTACAAATCCCGTCGCTGCAGCAGTTCGCGGGTTTAATCGGGATCCCGAGGAAAACGGAACAAACCGGGGATGGGGAACAGCCCTTGGACCGCTTTATTGGGATCCACGGAACACTCGGAAAAGGCTGGCTCGGTCCTGCGCCGTGACCGCAGCAAGGGCAGCCCCGGCCCCGCCGCGCACCGGGCACTGACTTTGCTGCTGAAATTTCTTAAAACTTACCAAAAACAAAAAGCTGAACAAGAGAGCGGCCCGAGCAGCTCCCGCAGCGTGGTGGTTAAAGGAATCGGTTCATCTAACCCAGGACTAGGCGAGGACTACATGCAGTAGTACAAATCTCAAGAACATATTACAAATACTCTGAAATTAATCTAGGGGTGGGGAAAAAAACTTGCTACAGACACCATAATACACAATAAATTTAGATAATTTAAAAATAAAAAAGGCAAGAGGCAGCATTTCAGCAGCAAAGTGCTCAATAAAAAGTATATTGTAAAGGGGCAGGACAGGGAGAGGTGACAGCAGGCGGGCGGGGCTCAGAGGAAGTACGGCGTGGTTGTCCTGGGAGGAATGACACGCTCTGAGTCTGGAACTGCGCGGAATAACTTTGGTTCTCTTGTATTTACATCTTTAAAGACCATGATGGACGCGATGTTCCCGCAGCGGTAGCAGTAGTTGGGAGCTGACCATACCGTTACCAACTTCTCATCAAACATGAATTTGTATCCTTCGTGGACGAGCTGGTGTGCTCTGCAGATCAGCTTCAGGTTGTTGATGTGAACAAACTGCAAAGGAAAGGGGAAGGTCAGCTCAGCGTGGCCCGAGCGCCGCTGCCCACACCCGTGCTGCTCCTGGGCTGGCCCCACAGCAGGACAGAGAACACAGCAGGGCTGGGGACCCAGCACTGAGACACCCTGTGACATACAGGTGCCAACACCCGAGCACTGGGAACAGCTGACACCCAGGCAGCAGGGCTGTGCTGTCCCCTTCCTGAACGTGCTGTGCCAGGGCCACACAATAATGCACCTGAGCCTGGCCAGGTCAGAGCCTGGTGAGGCCACTGGGTAGAGCCCTGAGGAGTCTGCTCAGTGCAGACACAACAAAATTAACTCAAGAATTGCTTAAAAAAGGGTATTTTTCTCCTAGATCCTTAGGAAACCATTCCACACAGAGCCCAGGGACAGTCGTGAGTCCCACCATGTCACTTTTCAAAAGCAAGATGGGTATTAGTACATCTGGCAGTTAAATTTGTGCTTTTAGGTTCAAGTGGCTCATTTTTTCCAGCTGGCACAAGCCAAGCTTCCCCACCACACCACCACGAGTTACTGGCAGAGGTGTGACAGGGCAGTTCAGTATCCTGCATTGCCCTTGCTCCACCCAAACCCCACAGTGAGCCGAGCCCCTCAGCTCCCCCAGCCCCCGTGTGGCCCTGAGCAGCAGTGAGTTACCTCATTGGTGACCTTGGCCCCGAAGAGCCAGCCTGCCCCACGGGGGCTGATGGCCCACGTGTCCACGTCCTCGGGGTCTGACCACACCAGGTCACAGAAGGCGCCTTTGTGAGGGATCTCCTGGTTGCGCTCAATGGTCCGGATCTGGTCCAGGGTCTTGATGTCTGGGGAGAGGCCCCCGTGCACACACAGGATCTGCTCGTCTATTAACTGCAGGGGAATGACACGAGCACCCTCAGCATGGCTGCCAGGGGAGCCCCAGCTCCCAGCTCCCATCAGGACTGCGTGTTAGCGTGGGGTTTGCACTTACAGCTGCTATTGTGAGCATGTCAAAGACTTTGGTGCAGTATCTCCAGGCGTTCGCGTTCCCGTATTTGGTTTGGCACTCGTCTGTTGGAGAGAAAGCTTTTATTCCTGGTGGATCAGAGGAAACAGGCAGAGCAAACACTGACAGCAGAACCTGCACACCCAGGTGTGCCACACGAGCCCTGCCAGGAGACCTGAGCTGGGTCCTGCTGCTGGCCAGCACCAGCACCAGCAGCAGGAGGGACCGAGCACCTCCTGCTCTGCCTGTGCCTGAACGTGGCACCACGACACAAGCAGCAACCCCACGTGCCAGAGGAAAAAAGCAGCAAGATCTGCCTTAAACACATTCCATTTCAGAAACACAATGACCATGTTACCAAAGGACAGCCCTGGAGCCCGTGTCCCCCCCACCCCCCGGGCACTGTGGCCAAGCCAGGGTTTCCCGAGGCAGAGGAGCTGCAGCCACAGGCAGCACTCACCGTAGAACCCGTACACCTGGGTGATCTGCCTGCTCTCGTGGTTGCCTCGCAGCAGCGTGATACGGTCAGGCCACTTGGCTTTTAGTGCAAGGAGGTACGTGAATGTCTCGAGGCTGTAATACCCTCGGTCTACAAAGTCCCCCTGAAGGCAGAGAGAGCCACACATGGAGAAAGGGCACAGTGACACATCTGCTCTCAATCCTCACTGCCACAAAGGAACCCAGCGCTGGAGGGCACCGGGACCTGCTGGGACCCGCGGCGGCTCCGGGCACTGCGAGTGTCGGGTGTGGGCTGGGCACTCCTCTCTCCGCTGTCCTGACGTGACCCCGGGACACCCGGGCAGGGCAGGACGCTCTGCCTCACCCCGCGGGGCTCCCGGCGGGCAGGAGCCAACACCGGCGCCGGGCGGAGCGCGGAACTCGGGAGCCCCTCGGGATTTCAGCCCCGGCCCCTGTCAAACCCAGCGGGGCCGCGCCGCGCCCGGCGCACCTACCATGAAGATGTAGTTGGTGTCGGGGACCTGCCCGCCGGTCCGGAACAGCTCGCACAGGTCATAGAACTGCGGGAGGAGAGAGGCGTGAGGGGGCACCGGGCATTGGCACCGACTCCGGCCCGGGGCTGCACCGGGAGCGGCCCGGCCCGGCCTTACCTGCCCGTGGATGTCCCCGCAGACGGTGACGGGCGTAGAGACGGGCTGGACGTTGGACTCCTCCAGCAGCAGGTCACAGACATAGTCACAGAGGCGCTGCGGGACGGAGCGGAGCAGGGTCGGGGTCAGCGCCGGGACCACCGGCGCCGCCCGCTCCGGCCCGCCCGGCAGCGCCCACCCCGGCCCCGGCCCGCCCCGGCCGGTCCCGGCCCCGCCGCCGCGGCCGCACCTTGAGGTCGTTCTCGGGCAGGTACTTGCAGAGCCGCGCGATCTCCACGTACTTGTCCAGGTCCAGCGGCGCCATCTTGGCACGGGTCGGGCAGAAGCGGGCCCCCCCCCGCCACTTCCGGGCGGCGGAGCGCGCCGCCGGCGCGGGCGGAAGCGCACGGCACTTCCGGCGGCACTTCCGGCCGGCCGGCCCGGCAGCGGCCCCGGTGCCATGGCGCCGCGGGCGCTGCCGCTGCTGCAGCCGGGGCGGCGGCCGCGCCCGGGACAGTGGTGAGCGCGGCGGGGGCACCGGCGGGCACAGCGCTGGGCAGGCGGGGGTGATGGGGGGATAGCGATGAGCGGGGCGGGGAGACCGGCGGGAGCCCGGGCCGGCCCAGCCCGCGCTGAGCGCCGCCCTTGCCCCGCAGGTACCGGCTGAGCCCGCGCGGGGAGCGGCCCCGCGGCCGCGTGGGACTCGGCTGCCTCCTCCTGCCCGGCCGCGTCCTGCTGCTGGGCGGCGCCGACCCCGCCGGGGCCTTCGCGGACGCGCATTTCGTGGAGCTTGGTGAGGGCCGGGCCGGGCCGGGGCTGGAACCGGGACCGGGACAGGGACCGGGACCGGGACCGGGACCGGGACCGATCGCCTGTCCCCGTCCACAGCCCCGCTGCGCTGGGTCCCCGCCGGCTGGCACGGACTGCGGCCGCGCTACGAGCACGCCACCATGCTGCCCGCCGTTGGCCCCCCGCGCCTCTGGGTGTTCGGCGGAGCGCACCCCGCCGGGAATCGCGGCTGCGTTCAGGTGCTGGACCCCGGTGAGTGCCCCAGGGCCGGGGTTCGGGCTGCGAGACGGGCCCGGCCTCCGTCCCCGTGTTGGTTGTTCGGTTAATCAAATGTCTTAACTAGAAATAGGAAGGTGGGAGAGCCCTGCAGTGAGGGGGGAGCAGCCGCAGCCTCGGACATTCCACACGTCCTCGGCGGCCATCGGGGCCCGGCTGTTCGTGTTCGGGGGTGGAGACAAGGGAGCGGAGCCGGTGAAAGACCAGCGGCTGCACGTGTTCGACACAGGTACCTCCCACTGGGGCACGGGAGCGCTGGAGGGCTGGAATTGCTGAGCTCTGTTTGGAGAGAAGTCCCACGGGATGGGTGGCTGTCCCTCTCTTGACAGGCTCTTGTGTTCGTGTGGGAATTCAGACCCCGTGGCTTGGGTGGGAAGCCTCGGCAGGGCTCTGGGGTTGCTGGTCTGTAGAATTGCCATAGTTTTCTTCCTATGCCCGTGTGTTCCCATTTTTAGCCACCCTGGCCTGGTCCCAGCTGGAGACTCATGGTGATCCCCCTTCCCCTCGGCACGGACACGCCGTGGTTGCAGTTGGGACCAAACTCTTCATCCACGGGGGTTTAGCTGGAGATGTTTTTTACAATGACTTGTACTGCATTGACACAAGTAAGTGTGGATGGAGGTACTGCATGGCAGTACCTGTGAGCTGTGCTTTGATTTGGGGGGATGTTTTTTTCTGAAATACTAGTTCTTAAGTGCTTAAAGTATTACCTTCTTTGTTTAAATCAACAAACTGCGTGGGGTTTGTGTAATGCATAACCCTGGAGGTGTTGTTTCCTGCACCAGATGACATGAGATGGGAGAAGATCCCAGCCACTGGGGATGTCCCTGGAGGAAGGGCATCCCACTCCTCGGCAGCATTCCAGGACCACTTGTACATTTTTGGTGGAATAGGTCCAGATGGGACACTGGATACTACATACAAGTATCACACAGGTAGGGAGGCTGCTCTCAGGGGTGCCAGGGAAGATGCCAGGCAGCTGGGGAGCATGGTACCTGCTCAAGCCCTGGAGTTACACCACTGCAGGACTGAATGCTCAAAACTTGGAATGAATGGTGCCTGGTGTGTGATATTTAAAGCTGTGACTGTGTCTTTGCACTGCAGGAAGGCAGCACTGGACGCTCCTGCAGTTTGAGTCTCCCCTGCCCAGCGGGAGGCTGGACCACGCCATGTGTGTCATTCCCTGGCAGGCTGGGGCACAGGGGGACACAGGAGAGACCCCAGCAGCTGACAGAGCTGAGCCCCTCCAGCAGGGCCTGGGAGAGGGCTGTGCTGAAGACACCTCTGTCCATCTGCTGTTCGTGTTTGGGGGCATGGACACCCAGGGGCAGATACACAGGGACTGTCTGGTCACCCTCATCGAGTAGAGTCCCCACAGCACCAGCCTCGGCTCCTGGGCCTAATTGTGCCCCCTAAACATGTCCTTACCCTGGGGCAGCTGGCATAGTGCTGGCCCCCCTGAGGGACAGGGGCTGTGCCTGAACAGGGTCTTGCTGCAGCCCCAGCCCAGGGAACATGGCAGGAGCCAAGGTGTTTTGAGGGACTGCTGGAGCTGGCACCAGACAAGGTCATTCTGGACTTAACTAATCCCATGGATTGGATAAGGATCAGTTAAATAAAGAGACCAAATTTCAATTAGGCTTCTTTTTTTCTAAGAACCTTTATTAGGTGTAAACTACTTTTCACTGTTCAAAAAACTGGTCTGTTTCATATGACACTTTATTAAAAGCTCTGAAGTTTTAATACTGCAGGAAAACATAATTAAGCCAAGCTCCTCCCTCACTGCTTGGCACCACCACTACTGCAGGCAACGGGTTCTGGTGGATAACCTCCCTCTCCCAGCTCAATAAAAGCTGCCCCTTCAGCAGTTACTCAGGCTTGATCCCCCCTTCCTTATCAGGATCTCTTGTAAAAGTGCAGTGAGGTCCAAGTCCATCCTCTCCCTTCAGAAACTGAACCCCAGTTCACCCCAAAGGAACAGAGGCCCAGCTCCTGCTTTCAAACCTCCCACTCTCCATGATCCCATGAAAGGTGACCTTGAGGGGGTGAGTTGCACTCCATCCTTCAGGGTTAATCCAGATCCTGGCTGGAGCTGGGTAATGGAGATCACAGAACCAGAACAGAGTCCAGTGTAAATAACAAATTTATTGTGGTCACTCCAGGTAGAAAAGCTCTACACCAAGTTCACATGACCAAGTTGTTAAATAGAATGTTCCACTGCCAATACTTCTAAACCCACATTTACACTCCCACCCCGCTCCCCTCCCCAGACATCGAGCAACTGCTAACGAAAAGCAGGATACAGCCACGTCGGGCTAGCGGTTCCAGCTCCACTCACGAGTGAAGATTCAAAGTTACATTCCAAATTAAGAGTTCAATATTTTAAACAAGTGTTCCTGAGTCCAATATATACACACACCACATTCGGGGACACCGGTCTCTACAACTCGTCCTTCTCTGCTGCCTCCTCCTCGCCGGGCGGGGGGCCGGCGCTGCCGTACAGCTTGCTCACGATGGGCTGAACCACCTCCTCCAGCTCCTTCTTTTGTGCTTTGAAATCTTCTATGTCCCCATCCTGATGGCTTTCCAGCCACTCGATCTTTTCCTCCACTGCTTTCTCTATTGTCTCCTTGTCCTCAGAGGACAGCTTCCCACCCAGCTTCTCCTTGTCCCCAATCTGATTCTTCAGGGAATAGGCGTAGCTTTCCAGCTCATTCCGGGCATCAATACGTTCCTTCAGCTTCTTGTCTTCCTCGGCAAACTTCTCGGCATCGTTGACCATCCTCTCGATCTCCTCTGGTGTCAGCCTGTTCTGGTCGTTGGTGATGGTGATCTTGTTCTTGTTGCCGGTGCCCTTGTCCTCGGCTGTGACACGGAGGATCCCGTTCACATCAATTTCAAAGGTGACCTCGATCTGGGGCACACCCCGAGGGGCAGGAGGGATTCCCGTCAGATCAAAGGTGCCCAGCAGATGGTTGTCCTTGGTCAGGGGACGCTCACCTGCAACAAACAATGACACGGGGTTACTTTCTTGCCCAGCTGTGGCCTGTACTTTGTGAAACCATGAGTGACACAGTTCCATGAACAAAGTACCTACAGCCTTTGTGACAATCAGGAACAAGAATGAAAACCCTACAGCAGACAGATTCCAGCTGTCACATGGGCCACCACAGCTGACACCCACCTTCATAGACCTTGATGGTCACAGTTGGCTGGTTGTCAGAAGCTGTGGAGAAGATCTGAGACTTCTTGGTGGGAACAACGGTGTTTCTTGGGATCAGCTTGGTCATGACACCTCCAACGGTCTCAATGCCAAGAGTCAGGGGACAGACATCGAGCAACACCAAGTCACCTGGAACAGATCAAAGGCAAGACTGTGACACAACTTCAACACAAAACACAACGCTGCAGACAGGATCCTGAGGCCGCGGGGGCACAGAACTCCAAGGACTGGAAAAGATCCAAGTTTGTCTGCATTTGCTTGTCAATGCCCAACATCCACTGTTGAGTCAACTCTTAGGTGGCAGTGAAGGTGCCATTACCTGTATCCTGGTCCCCAGAGAGCACCCCGGCCTGCACAGCTGCACCGTAGGCCACAGCCTCATCTGGGTTAATGCCCCGAGAAGGCTCCTTCCCATTGAAGAACTCTTTAACGAGCTGCTGGATCTTGGGGATGCGAGTTGATCCACCAACCAAGACAATCTCATCAATATCAGACTTCTTCAGGTCAGAATCTTCCAGGACTTTCTGAACAGGCTTCATAGTGGAACGGAACAGGTCCTGCAAAGACAAAACCCCAAGGATTGTGAGACTGTATTCCCAGCACACCACATTGTGCAGCCCCAGAGGTACAAAGTACAACCACTACAGAGCAGAGATGCCAAACTGTCTGAGGCCCAGCTCCCTGGCAGGAACAGCTGCCTGCTCACACGGAGTTATTTATACTCCAAAGTGCAGTGTCACAGCATGAGATGCTGCACATTCCCCAGTCCCAATCCAGAGCTGAGGCTGTGTAACTTTACCTTTCTAAACTTACCATGTTCAGCTCCTCAAACTTGGCTCGAGTGAGTGTCTCCGAAAAATCTTCTCCTTCAAAGAAGGACTCTATTTCAATCCTGGCCTGGTGCTGAGATGACAAAGCTCTCTTGGCCTTCTCCACCTCCCGCCTCAGCTTCTGCACAGCTCTGTTATCCTTCCTAACATCTTTGCCAGTTTTCTTCTTGTAGAGCTTGATGAAGTGCTCCATAACACGCTGGTCAAAGTCTTCTCCACCCAGGTGAGTGTCTCCATTAGTAGCCACAACTTCAAAGACTCCGTTGTCAATTGTGAGGAGGGACACATCAAAAGTTCCACCACCCAGGTCGAATACAAGGATGTTCTTCTCTCCTTCTCTCTTGTCCAGTCCATAAGCAATGGCAGCAGCTGTTCTGTAGAGGGAACGGGCTGTCAGGGCTGGGGGTGGCAGCCCACAGCTCCCCTGGGGCAGGACAGGGTGGGCTACTCACGGCTCGTTGATGATGCGCATCACGTTGAGCCCCGCGATGGTGCCCGCATCCTTGGTGGCCTGGCGCTGGGCGTCATTGAAGTAGGCTGGCACCGTGACAACAGCGTGGGTCACCTGAGCAGGGAGGGACAGCTTTGTTACAGTCTGTAAGCAGTACCAGCCACTCTGAGCACTGCTGGAACAAGCAGCCCATTCTCAGAGATGAAGAGCCAGCAGCAGCTGAGCCCATCGGACAGGGCTGCTGCAGGGGCCTGCAGCACTGACTGTGGTTTGGGATGGCAAGGTCAGTCCTGGCTCAGCCTACCCTTCTCCCATTTCCTAAAGCTAATTCAAGTTGTTACCAGTGCTTCCTGTGCACTTACTTTCTTCCCCAAGTAAGCCTCTGCTGTTTCCTTCATCTTTGTCAGGACCATTGCAGAAATTTCTTCAGGAGCAAATGTTTTTGTCTGTCCACCTCCAACATCAACCTGAATATGGGGCTTGGCTTTCTTCTCGACCACCTGAGGAGAACAAAGGATACTGTCTCATTCAACTATTTCAACTTGTTCCCATGGTTCTTTCTAAACAGCAAGCGAAACCTCTATGACAAGCATAACCTGAGCACAGCTAACACCAGGAACTGTTGTTTACACACCAATCCTCCCATGGGGCACTGTGAGCAGATGCCTCTTCTGACCAGAACTGTAGTCCTCCCCTCCAGCCCCCCTGCCTCTGCACTCAGGACCCACCTTGAAGGGCAGGTACTTGATGTCCTGCTGCACGGAGGGGTCATTCCAGGTGCGGCCGATGAGCCGCTTGGCATCAAACACGGTGTTCTCCGGATTGGACGTGAGCTGGTTCTTGGCAGCATCCCCGATCAAGCGCTCCCCCTCGGGGGTGAAGGCCACGTAGGACGGTGTGATGCGGTTCCCCTGGTCATTGGCGATGATTTCCACGCGCCCGTTCTTGAAGACGCCCACGCTGGGGTTGGGGGGGGGAGCGGAACGGTCAGGCGGGGCCGCGGCCTGCACACATCCACACCCCCCGCCCCCCCGCCTCCCCTTCTGCTCCTCCCCGCGCCCTCCCGGGCCCGCAGGCGCTTCCCACAGCTCCCGTGGGCCCTGCCTGCCCAGAAGGGCCCGGGCCCCCGCCCGCCAGCCCGGCCGGCCCCCCGTACCAGGAGTAGGTGGTGCCCAGGTCGATGCCCACCACCGTGCCCACGTCCTCCTTCTTCTCCTCGTCGTCCGCCCAGACGGCGCCCAGCGCCAGCAGCGTCAGCAGCAGAAGCCTCATCCCGACCGCTCACCTGCGCCCACCTACCGAGAGGCCGCCGGTTACACAACGGAGGCGCCACGTGCGTGGCCGCCCCCCTCACCCCTCCCCGCGCCGCAACCACCCAGCCCCCGCCGTGCGGAATCACCCCGCGTCCCCGGCCCATCTTTCCGTGCCCTCAACCGCCATCCCCCCAGCACCGGCCCAGCCCCGTGCGGCCCTTACCGCGCCCTCACCGTGCAGAAGCGCCGCGCCCCGATCTCCGCTGAGCCGCCAGGCCGCGCCGCCCGCCCTTTTATACCTTCCGTTACCCCTTCGTGGAGCCTCTCCATTGGCTGCCGCGCCCTCGCTGGAGCCTCTCCATTGGCCGGCTGCTACCAAGCTGGCCTCCCGCGATTGGCGAGCACCGCGCGGCCGCTCCGCCGTGCCCGGCGCGCCCCCCTCGCGCCGCCCCATTGGTTCCACCCGCCGGCCGCGGCCACAGAGAAGCGTGAGCCAAGCGGAGCGTCCCCATTGGCTGGGCGGGACCACGGCCGCGGGGTGGGGGGGCACTTCTGGAAGTTTCCATGGTTACCGGCCGGGGGGGGGATAACCCGCCGGTGGGGGGGGTGCCGCCGCTCCCGGGGGCACCGGGGGTACGGGCGGTACCGGGGCACTGCTGGGGGGGAGGCGCGGGGAGGTTGGAGCGGGCCGGCATCATGGCCGGGCCGTGCGGGGTCTCCGGGCAGAGGCCGTCCCGCCCCCGCCGGGGATGAGGTGACACGCGTGTGCCCAGCGCCCCGAGGCGACACCGGGACCCGTCCCCGGGCGGCCGCTGCCCGCCCCGTCGCTGCCAGCAGGTCGCTAGGCCCCGCCATGTCGCGGCACCGAGCCCCGCACGCACAAGCCGGGGCCGGGCGGAGCCGGGGCTGACGGCGGAGCGAAGCTCCAGGAGCGGCCCCGGCTCCGCCCGGCCCTCGCCCCGCTCCGCCTCGCCCCGGCCCCGCTGCCGGTGCCGGCCCCGGGACTACAAGTCCCAGGAGCGCCGTCGCCGCCTGCGCAGTGCCGCGCCCGCCCGGGCCGCAGCGGGAGCCGCCGGGGCGCTGGCCGGGTAGGGACACGCTCGAATCCCGCGACAGCGCTCGGCTTCCTCCCCCGAGGAGGAGGAGGAGGAGGAGGGAGCGGTGGGAGGAGGAGGAAGGCCCGGGGCCTGACAAAACGCTTTGGTTTTTCCAGGGCAGCGAGAGGGAAGGCGGGCAGCCGAGGAGAGACGGAGCCGCGGAGGGTATGTCGGGTGGGTTTATCGCGATAGGGCGCTCGGGAGGCGGGGGAGCGGCGCGGGGCCGGCGGCAGAAGTTGTCGGTGCGGTTTGCCGGGGGTTCCTCCGTGCCCTTCTCGCCCGGGCCAGCCCTGCCCTGCCCGCCCGGCCGGTCCGGGCACCGCGGTCCCGCTGCGGGGGCACTCGCAGAACCGGAGCCCTCGGAGCGGGGCCCTCGCGGCGCCAGGAGCCGCTCGCTGCCGCCGCTCCTGCGTGGCTTTTGTGTCGGGCAGGTTTAAAACTTGAAACTTGACCAGTGCGGTGACTTCCCTTTTTGGTCCCTCGCAGACCCCTGAGGCTGGAGAGCTCCATGCAGGCTGTGTCGGGTTTTTTCTTGCAAAGTCATGATACCGCGCTCCTGAGAGCTGTTGGGATGGAGCTCTCGGAGCGGGCATGTGATACTTCACTTACTGATAGGTAAAGTGCTCTTTTGGCGGACGACGCAGTTGACTCACGAGTAGAAGCTGCAATTTGAAGAGGATGAAGTGGAAATGGCAGGGGCAGTCCATGAAATCTGAAATACTCTGCAAAAGCAGCAGGATGGTGGCTTCAGGAAGCACTTTTCAACTGCTGCTGCTGAGGAGGGTTCCAAAATGTTTAAGATGCTCAACACATGGATTTTGATGTGATATTTGTCAGATAACGGAGAATATGCTCTCCTCAGCAGCAGCTGCCCTTCCTTGCAGATGGGAAGGAAGCTGCTCTCAGGAGGACAGGTTGGTTTTGTCAGTCTGAACAGCTTCAAGTTCTGCACTTGCTCTGGCTGGAAGTCTGTTAGTGTGATCCTCACCTGAAGGGAACTCCACTTTCTGGAATCACAAGCAACTGGAATAGATTTTAGTGTGGTTATGTGCTTTTACTGATTTTATGCAACACGGCAATGCCATTATAGATGGCATTGGCAATGCCATAATTTAGTGGCCAGCTGATCCTGTCCTTTACTGATGAGTTCTGTTATGGGGCATGAGAAATGAGGTTCTCCTCACATGTGGATGGGCAGTATGTCCAGGGCTAGCTGAGAGCAGCCTCTGGGCAGAAACAAAGGGAGGGGATGAGTTTCTTATTAATGACAATTAGACAGTGGATCTGCATTTTGTGTGTCACACATGTTTGAGCTGGTGGGTGCTGTAATGTGAGGGTTCAGCAGTGAGCCCTGGGTCATGGTGAACCATCCTGCTGGAACAGGGCTCTGCTAGCTCAGCTGGGGGAGATGGGCAGTTAGCTTGTGTGGAGAAATAAGGCTTGTGAGAAGCTACTATAAATACTAATGAGGGAAGAGGTACTTCATCAGGGCTGAATTAGCTTGGAAGCCATTCAGGCTTGCTTAGGAGTTATTTTTCAGTAGGATGGAGGGATTTTGCCTTGCCCTGCCCTGCCTATGTTAGATGTGCCCAAACTTGCTCTGGAAGTTGAGGCTTGCATAGCGAGACTCCGGAGGAGCAAGAAACCCTGAGCAGGAAACACAGGAGGAGGAAGAAGGATCTGGTGTACCAGCAGCGTTCACCACTTTACCTAATCTCTTTCCTGTCACTGAATCACAGAAACATGCAAGAGAGATGTGTGTTCCTGTATGCCACAGGACAATCCCAGGGACATTGTGAGGTGGAGTTCAGCACCTGAAGATTCAATGTCATGTTCTCCAGGACTTTAAGAGTGGGAAACAATCTGTGTCCTGTGTTCATCAAAGGACAGACTGCCTCAGGTTCTGAACAAATGTGTGCTGCCAGCAGGGCAAGGCATCTGGGATGCTGTCAGGTCATGCAGCCTTTGTTGTTGATATATGGAGCATCATGAAGGGAAATTGTCTGAGTTGTTGTGCTAAGCTGCTCTTACTGTGTCACAGTTACTTGTAGGTTCCTGAGTAGTCTTGAAATAGCTGACAGAAAATGGAAATGTTTCCATATCAACATGAAATCCCAGGGTTGAAAAGTAATCTGCACATAGCACAATTTTACATATCTGTTGTTCCTTCAGCCACAGCAGGCTTTAGATATTTAGGATATCTAAATATCCTAAAGGGACTCCTTTATATAGCTGTGTACAGATATCTGCTATTTCAGGTGTTGTGCCTGGTATCATAAACCAGATTGCTGGGTAATTACAGGCACCTTTTTGTTTATGAGCAGCTGATAAGGTAATCTGGCAAATGAGGAATCAGCAGAGGCTCTGCTCTGGAGCTGTTCCGTGGTGTGTCATTGAGTGTGGCTGTGGCCAAGTGCTCTGGAGTGCACCTTGTGGAGCCTGGTCAGGGGATGCAGCTGCTGTCTCTGTTCTGCTGTGAAGGGAAGAGGTTTTGGGGAGGAGCAGTGTGTGTCAGGTAGGTGTGTTAGTGGTACAATAGCCTGTTCTTTCAGGACAAGCTTGTTGGTAATACCAGTGTCTGAAGAGAGGAGCAGTGTCTGCACCTTGCCCAACTGGGTTTTTTGGGTGCTCTTCCCTGAGCCTTGCTGAAGTGCATTGTGTGTTAAACTGCTGCTTTACATCCCTGCTGTTCCCAGGTGTCTGCCAGGGACCTCAGGTGGAGAGAGAATTGTTTGTGCTCTTGCTTGCTGTGCGTGTGTGGCTTCAGAATAATTGATTTAAAAGCTGGTGGAAGGCAGTGATGAGGTGTTCCTCTCCACAGAGCTGGATCTCAGCAACAGCCCTTGCAGTTGAGCCACTTTGATTTTTATGGAGGTTCCCAGGCTGGGGAAGCTGCTGATCCCATTTTCTTGTATGAAAGCTGCTGTCGTGCAGCTGTCCTGTGGATTGACAGAAAATCCTGTGGATTTTCACAGCTCTTGACAAAGCAGTGGCACACAGTAACCTGCTGTGCTCAGTTCTGAATCAATTCTGCTCTGCTTTCGTTATTTCTGCTGTTCTGCAGCAGAGGCAGATAAGACACACACGTGGGTAGTGGCCAACTGATGGGGTGTTATCAGGTAGTCACAGGACCAGTATATTTAGCAGCACAGATGCAGCTAAGGGTGCTCTTTGGAGCCTTGTTTTGGGCCTGGAGTTCAGATAGGCAATTAGTTTTAAAGGAAAAATCAGAATGCATGGCAGTTGGCACCTTCTCACAGTTTCTCAGGCCTCAGAGTCTGCTCTTCGTGAGGAGGTGCCCAAGTTGTTCCTCTCTTGGGTGCTCACCTCACCTTCCAAGCAGGGTGAGGTTTCTGCTGTCAGTCTTTTTCAGCTGACATCACAAACAGTACAGTGCAGGAGTCTGAGCTCTTTTTGCTGGGCAGGTGGATTAATGTGTGTGTCACATCTCTGCACTCTGTGGGGCTGTGTGGACTTCTGCTGACAGGGCTTGTGGAGCTTGCTCTGACCCGTGGGCAGAGGAGGAAGGAACAGAGCATCTTCCTCAGAGGCTTCTTAGGGAGCTTTGCCCATCCCTGGTGCTGGAAACATCTAATAAACAAAACCAGAAAAAGACCCTAAGTGAAATTGAGAGAAATTGCTTGTAAGTGTAGGAAACACCTCAGGAGTTCTTAAATCAGCTTGGCTGATTGCTCTTAAATGGGTTTGTAACCAGTGACACAAAAATAGAGACTTGTTTTGAAATTTGGCCAAACAAAGGACTGTAGGCAGGGGCTACAGGCTGTTCCTAGGGGTACTCCATGGGGGTCTCCCCTTCCTTCCCAAACTTGCTTAGAAGCAGGAGATCCACTTGGAGTGACTTTCTGTCCAGGAAAGTGGAGACTGGGGTTGACACCTGAAAGTGGAAAATGCCAACTAAAACTGTTCAGTTTGATGAAATATGAGCAGCTCTTGAGCACAGCCCTACAGTGGGAAGCTCTGAAAAGGCAGAAGGCAGCTCTGCAGGTCTTGTTTGTGTGTGCTTTTATGGCTTCAACTTCTTTTTCCAGGCTGATAGTACTACCTCACAGCCTAAAGACTGGTTACTACTGTGTTTGCAGGCAGTAGCAAGTTTACTGCTGGTTAGTTGTTTTGTTGGTTTTTTTTTTGCAAGCTCTTAAATTCTGAGACTAAAAATAAATTTGTTGCAAGAAGTTATTATTTGTTTCACAAAGAACTTTGGCAGCAACAGCAATGTTTCTTCTTCTAATCATTTCTCTGAGACTGTCCCAGTTAAAAACATCTGAATTAGCACATCCTTCAAGTTCCTGTCGTAATCTCATTTTTGGATGCATCAGCTGTAGCCTCTGGTTAGGGTAGCTGAAT